AATTCGAGCCCACTGAATTCACAGTGTTTCCTTAAGGAATTTAATCCCCTCCTAGTACCCAAGGTAATGGATTATTTCCTCCCAGGATAGAACGAATAACACACTGGTGTAGCGGTACTTCAAACCCCAGTGTTTCGGCGAACACAAAGTTCGGTAGCAAATCACACTTACAGTTGCTTTGTTTGAAGTTAAAAAACAATGCAGAACGAAGGAGTATATACTCAGAAAAACGTATGGAAGTTCTGAGAGGAAGGAGTGCAATGTATAGCCAATTTGTTGAGCGAATTGTATGTTGAGTTGAACGTCCACCCTTCATGGTGGATCAAGCATTACATATTTGTGGAGCAAGCACTTCATATTTGTGGAGCAAGCACTTCATGGTGGGAAGACCATTATCCGGCTGCCAAATTATCAATACACGGATTGGAAAATATCCGTTTACAAATACGGATAATCTTACGTTAATATTTACTATTAACAAATAAATTTGGTCCAAAAAATTAATCAATCAATTGACCAAATCCAAATCCAAATCCAAATCCGTAGCCGAGCGAGCGAGCGACGACGACGGCGCGAGGCTTGCTTTCTTCTTAACTCTTTAAGAGCTACAAGAAGAGCAATTATATATATACCCACCAAAAATGTCTTCCACTTCCAATATGGGACAATGTCTCATTGTTAAGAGGGAAAAACTTAAAATTTTACTCAAAATTTCATTTTCCCTCCATTTCCCATTCACCCTCATTTTAAGAATATTACATCTTAAAAATAAAACCTCAACAGGGTGCCCGGCAGTGGCTTTGTACTTGCCTTTTTAATTCCGTCCTCTGCTGTCTCAATTCTTTCTCATCATTTTATCCTGAAATAAGGATATAAGTTTTTCCAATTTTATTGACCTGCTAAATTAATCTACTAGCTTGTCAAGCGTAATATAAGATCCAACATTCACGTCATTGATGTCCTATATTATATAGTTCGAATTGTTGGAGAATACACTCATAATTGCTGCTACAAAAACTTCATTCGTGAATTTTCATTAGTCATTAAACAAAGATCAAACATATTTTGTGGGCTTGACCTTGTAGAATGCTTCTGCTAGTATCAAAATACAATTGCAGGCACGGCAACATACTAGTTAACTGGACAAAACTGAAAACATTGGAGTAAATTTTCAACAACAAAAAAAAAAACCTTGTTTAATGTCATAAGTGGTGTATGGGAAGGACTTTACCCCTATCCTATAAAGGTAGAGAGGCTTTCTGGATGAGTAAATGTTAGTTTTATTATTAATTAAAAAAACTGCACCAAGCAAGTGCTGAATTTACAAATACGATAGACTACATCTTCTTTTAACTACGTTTCGATTCAATGAAGTCCATGACAGTATTGGACTTATATACATTATGCATTTTACATAGAATGCATAATGAATTTGTATTGGAGAAACGTCTAAACATAGAATCCACTTAATCATGCGTGAGATCTTTGTTCTGCCTCGGGGAATTTGTGCTCCCAACTCTAGAGCTCAGTATACTTAGAGAAAGAGCAAATGAATATGTTCGGAATATCACTAGCTATAGCCATCAGCATCCCTCAATGTCCCTTGGTGTCTACAGGCAGAAATATAGTCTTTACTTAGCATATCTTTGCATACTTTATCAAACAATACAATAAACATTTTACAGTAACGTATGTGGATGATCTAAAGATTTAAATAATGGGTTCTTGCTTACCACATCAAAATCAAGAGAAGCAACTTCTTTCCTAGAAGGATAGAGCACATAATGTTGCACAATGAAGAGAATGTCAAAGAATATCGACACCTGCAACATTCATTTCATCAAAACCACATAATTGTCTGTGCCTTAACCTAGTAATTAGAAGCAAGAACAGGAAACAAAGAGAATCTGATCAGAAGTGTAGTAAATAAATGGAATATAAAGAAAAATTACTTACCAATGACAATAATGTCTTGCCGATGTTTCCATAAAAGTTCACCCAAGAATCTGTACAGAAAATAGTTCGGAAATATTTATACATTAGGCACATATACAGAATCTCATAGAATTCTTTAACTAGGTAAAAAACAGAAATAGCAATGTATGTTAGTCGAACGCTATATAATTGAAATGCTGAAACTCACGTTGATCTATGGATTGCACTGCCATCTGCCCATAATTTGTTAATCCTCCAAACAAATCCAGCAAAATGTTGCCAATACTAAATCCAATTGTGCTCTTTCGCCGGAAATTCATAACAGCCTATAGATTTTTTAGAGCCAACAACTTTAATTCAGTATAAACATATCACAAAATCTTGTAATTTGAATAGAAGAGAACAAAATCACAAGCAATTCATATAGAAGTCTGAGTTTATTCCCTTCAACCAGAGCAACAATTACCTGGGGAATGTACTTAATTACTGTCATAACAACCTGCAATGTGCTGCAATTAAGATATAGAACTGTGAGAATTTATTGTTATAGTGGTTAAATGGATAAAGTACTGTTACCTTAACTTGACCAAACAAACAAATTTATTTTATTGTTATGAAATTTTTTAAACATGAAGAAAAGGGTGTTAAGTAGAACTAATCGTGGATTTAAAAGAAAGTGGCTTACTTGAAGCAGGAAACTAGAAATAACCAAGAGTGTTTAGGGAAAGCCACAAAAACACAAACTGCAACACTCAACCAAGCAACAGTGACAATTGCAATAGCAGTTTTTGAGACCTTCTGATTTCCACGCTGTAAAAAGAAATATGTACTGTTTATTAGCACCAAGTCATAAACTCACATTTCAGTATGCACATAATATTTGAGCTGTAAAGAGTAAAAAAAAAATAATGGTATACTTACATCATAAATAGCAATCTGAAATAAGGTAAATGCTGTTAAAGCAACAGCATGAGTAGAGAAAGCCACATCATTGGCAGCTACAGGTATCATCTGAAATTAAACAATGAAGGTAGTCAGCAGTTCAGCACATTAGTCATTAAGTTCACTATAAAACATAGTATCAACTTAATATGAAGAAATAAAATAGAAGGAAAGTTTGTGATTTTAGTCCATCAAATATCTAAAAAAAATTATTTTGATCCTCGTGATATTTAGTTAAACATATATAGCCTTCTATTAATTAATCAAATTGTGCACTTTTACTTCCAATACTTATACATCATAGGTTTAGTGAATTATTAATTGTTCAACTGTTTAATCACAAATGTATTGTGCAAAAACTGAATTAACATATTTCCTATATAAAGGGGCAAAAACATAGTATTTTTATAAAATTGAATATATAATGTGCTTAACCAAATATCATACGGGCAAATTCAGTGTTTATAACCAAATGAATTATAGCTTTTCAACATTGGAACAATTGTTGCAATTCAATATGGTATCAAAACAAGCATATGAGCAACCGTAACATATTTAATGTAAACAGTTCAACGTGTTTGCGCGGTTCAAACAATTCAATAGAAAAAACGAAAAGGAGAAAAGGATTTGAGGGTGGTGTTATAAACCTCGTTAGAGCCATATCGACGATGATATTGCCTCTGAACGGCAGAACTGAAGAACATGAAAACATTGTAGATGAGATAGGACGAGTGCTTTGTCAAATTCAACACCACAAAATCAAAATTCAACCCCACCACACTGTTTTTCATTCAAAAAGATTCACGTAAGAAACATAATTATTAAGCAAAGAAAAGAACTAGTAGTAAAAGAAGAAATAAATTATGTAGAGAAGAAGCACAAACCTTTTCCTACGGAAATTCAGTACGACTTGAGGATAAAAGCTAATAGACCATAAGACAAACGCAATCCATCCAAAAACATTGTACAACACTTCCAACGAAACTGAATTCCACGACCCCATCAAAATCAACCTCTTTCTTTTAGATTCTTTTGTAACTTCAAAAAACAGGATAATATGTAATCTTTGTTCGTATCAAATACTTATCGCTATTTATAGAAAATAAGCTAAAAATATGGGTTGCTCTGTAATTAGATGCGAATCCCAATGACAGAAGTTTCAGTTGCTGACGAATTAAATTTTTCCAAAAATATTACATCTATGTAATGAATGTGCCCCATATTACGACAGTATTCATGTCGCTTTCTCCCATTATCCATATTTAAGTAATCGTAAATAAGCCTATGTTCAGTAGGATTATATATATTTCCTAAAACAACTATGTTCAATATATAAATTGATAAGCTAGAAAATAGGGTTAATAGTTTAGAAGCGATCAAATTGCACAATTTTTTCGGATGTGTCTGAAGGGAAAGTCAACTTAAACTTTTACACTAAATTTTCAACCATATGTTAATAAAACCTTATGCTTTTATAGTCTTTACGTTTAAATTGAAGTTTTGTATCCTTGTTCTAAACTGGTAGCAAAATTTTAAGTCAGACTCAGGATTTGAAAGTGGCCGGTGAATAAAAATTTGAGCAAATGTTGAAGTGAGATCGAGTCCAGATTCCTGACAGCTCACTATCCTGAGGGTATGTCCGCCTCTGACAAGAGGTAGTTATTTGTGGGGGTGGGAGAAAGCGACATGAATACTGT